CCTGCACGCGGGCCGCCCACCCAGCCCCTGAGGTCCGCCCCCCGACGCCCCGCCGCCGCGGCGTGTGCTGACGGTCCGCGGGCCACCCCGCGCCCCGCACCCCCTCCCTCGGACGCTCGCCTGCAGCGCCGCGACGCTCTCGCGGCAATGCATGCCGCGCCCATCGGCGGCGACCCTGGGGGCGTGGGTGCAGGATTGTAAGGATGATATTGTAAGGATGATAAGGCGCCCGACTGCCACGATGCAAAACCAGTGTGCAGGACGAATCCAAGCTTCTTGGTTGTTTGCATCAGAAGGCCTCAGGTCCCCGCATGCAATTTGCTGCTGCCAAGGCGCATCCCTGAGGGTGTCCCGCACCCCCGCCCGCTCCGATGCATGACTGATAGTCGTTAGTCATGCCCCACCTGGCGTCCAGTTTGGCCTGGTCCCTCTGCAGCTGCTCCAGGGCAGACGCGTACCTGTGAGATTCGAATTTCATTGGATTATTTGTGAATTGCTGGCTACGATTTGTGTTTGGTACATGTAGGCAGGTGGGCTTCCGTACGTGATTTGGGGTGGAATTCTGTATGTGATACAGGGAGCGGCAGGGGCCCTGTGAGCGCATGCATACGTACAGAGGCAATCCCCCAACGTGACACTGGCGCCCGCCGCAGCCGCGGGGCGGGGGCTGGCTAGCAGCGCAGGGCAACCGCAGCGCAGGGCAACCCCACTTTTCGGGCAGGGGCCGGTTGACCCAGGGGTGACGGGTGATGTCATCCACTGAGATGCGGGTGGCCAGGTTGACGTCAAACATGCGGTCAAGGAGGTCCCTGGGACGGCGGGTAACGGATTTTCGGGAGTGGTTTTATGGGGGGGGGGTAAGGATAGTATGGGAGCGTGGTGCAATCAGGGTGGTCTTGGAGGGTAGCAGCGCAGCAGCTTGCCTGCTCAATGAACGCGATACCCGTGGCTGCTGGAAAAGGCATGGATCCCAGTCAGCTGATGCATGCGTCGGTTGCTGTATGCAACACCCTGCTGCTTTGCCCAGCCCGGGCTGGCTGGCGCCTACCTGCACTCTGGGGAGAGGCTCTGGACTGCGCGTGCGTTTTGGGGGCTGTCCTGCCAGCTGGTGCGGACCTGGTTCACCCAGATGCTATAGAGGCCTGGGCATTGGGTTTGTAGGTGTGCGTTCAGAGGCGGCTGAGTCACGTGAGATGAGTGATGAGCACGATAGCTTGCAAAGGAAGGTCAGGGGTCAACAAATTGGAACTTACAAATCAGCGAGCTTTCAGATATATGCCCTATCAAAACAGGAAGTTGATGTCTGCTGGGCGGATTCCGGCGAAACCATGGTCAACCCTGGTCAAAATTATGAAGTGGAAGCCCTGGTCAAAATCTGGTCAAACTCTGGTCAAACTCTGGTCAAATTCTGGTCAAACCCTCACCCGCGGTGCTCTCGTAGTTCTCGTCCTCCATCTCAAAGGGGAAGGCCCCCAGCAGCAGCACGTACAGCATCACGCCCGCGGCCCACACGTCAACCTGACGTCATCCCATGGGCATGAGGGTGCATGATGACGTCATTCCATGGGCATGAGGGTGCAAACATGCAGTGTGCACAACGGAGGGTGAACGATGGAGGTGCGTGACGGAGGATGCGTGATGGCGGGGGTGCAAGATGAGGGTGCATGCGTCATGGGGTCATGCATGACGGGTATGCATGACGGGTGTGCATGATGGGTGTGTGTTATAGAGGGGCATGCATGGGATGCATGATGGCGGTGCAAGCATGATGGGGCTGCATGCAGGGGTCGCATGCTGGGGGGTGCATGATTGGATTGCATGACTGGGGCGTGTGACGGTGGGCGCTTGAGGTGCTCCATGTGCAGGGGTGGGCGGCAGCCCGAGAGTCAGCAGGCTTGCGTGTACCCAAAGCCCGGCCAACGCTGCTGCACATGCGCCTGGCACAGACGTGCATGCATGCGCAGGATGTCACCTTTTTTCCGTCGTAGCCAGAGCGCCCAGATATGAGTTCAGGCCCCATGTACTCGGCTCTTCAGGTATTTTTAACGGGGAGTGGGGGCAAGGGGGGGGGGCGATCAGACAGGGTGGTGATTGTGGAGTTGGTTGCGGTTGGGGGGCAATCAGCTGTGAGCTCACTCTTTTTGCATGGACATGCAAAGAGGTCATGGATGCCTCCCCACCCTGCCCCCCTCCCCCCTCTTGCTTCAAGCCTCGACTCCTGGCCCCTGCTCTGAGCCTCCCCCTCAACCCCCCCTCCCTGCTCACGTCCCGATGCGCATGGTGTCCATATTGCTGCTGGTGGCCCACCCCTTGGCAAAACCAAACTGCACGGGAGTGCAGGGATATGAATTTGTGTTCATTGGAGTGTGTATGGGTTTGTGTGTGCGCGTGCGGCTGCGGCGTGCGCACAGCGCCCGTGGGCCCGCAGCGCGCGCGCGGGCGGGCGATGGGAACGGGGGTCGGGGTCGGGCGAAGGCTCACGTGCCAGCACTGTCGGGGGACGAAGCAAGCACGCGCCCACAGGGCAGCAAGACAATCACCCCTACGCGGAATCGACCTCGAAAACGGGATATTTATGAACAAAATAGACGCCCCAATCTCACGTCGCACAGTTTGAGGCGTGGGGGGTCCCTGTCGTCCAGCAGAGCATTGTCCAGCTTCAGGTCCCTGGGGGAGGTTTTGTTGGTGGGCCGGGCACGGGGGTGGACGCTTTTTATGGCTTTTAGTTGGGTTGATACGTCAAGAAAATGGATTTTCAGGCGCTTGCGTGCAGGCGGTTCTGGCGAGGAGGGGCGGGGCGGGCGGCCCGCGCCGCGCGCGTGGAAAGCCTTTTGTGAGTCGGGGAGAGGGGGGCGGCGGCAGGCTGGGCCGAACGAATGCAGGCGTTACAGGGTTGGCCAAACAGGTCGAAAAGGGTGCGGGGCACTCGGTCCGACGCGCCCGCCGCACCGCCATCCCGCCCACCTGTGCGCCACGTGGCCCTCGTGACAGTACTGAACAGCAGAAATCAGCTGCCTGTGTCATGAATCGAGCGGGCGGTTGTGATGATGTGGACAGGGTTGACATGAGGGCGTGAGCTAAGACCTCACAAGGGGTCGTGCACAGCGCGAGGGGGGGGGGGCTGCACCGCGCACTTGCGGCGGCATCGACTCGGCCGACCGGTTGGGCGCCGCACACGCCTGTACACCGGCAGCTCTGGTTGAAGGCGTGCACCGACCCGCACTCCAAGAAACAAAGGGCGGGGATCTCGCCGCCTACTTTATCACGCATCCCTTGTTTTGGCCGGGCCCGCAGCACACCAGCACGCGCCTCAACTATTTGAAGCCCCCCCCCCCCCGCGCCCACAGCAAGTAACAAGACTCAGTACACCGCGGCCCCGCCGGCCGATCAACATCCATGTCGCACCAAAAGACCGACTGTCGAATAACTTGTTGTTTCACAGAGTCAACTTTGACGATAAAACCCCGAGAGGGTGCCAAACACCACCGGCCGCCCCTCACGCACCTGAAAAAGTAGCAGGCCGCGTCCTCATCCATGCATAGGCCGCCCCGCAATGCCGCGCTGTCGCGCCGCCGCGTCACGTAAGACACCAGGTTGCCGCCTGTGATGGTACAATCAAATTTGTTGCTTGAGTGTTATGATGTATTGGTGAATCGAACTGAAGCAAAGAGAGGGGCAGAGTACAAAGGGGTTGGGGTGCAGGCAGTTCCAAGCTTGACTGCATCGACCTTTGGACAGGCGTGCAGATGGTGGCCGCTGAGAGTGTAAAGGTGACAACGGCCAACGCGGGGGTTGCAAGCGGGCTTTGAAGCTGCTACTCGGCGGCGTCGCTTGCCGCGTCAGCTGCTCACGCACACACAAAGCGAGCCGCCGCCGCCGCCGTGCCGGCAGGAACGCGGGCGGCAGCGCGGAGGGCGCCGCGCCCCGACAGCGCCGCCCGCGCGACCGCCGCGGCGCACCCCTCGAGCAGCCTTGGCAGTGACTCACCCTTGACGTACTCCATGACTAACCCGATGTGGGAGCGCGTCAGCACAACCTCCTCAGCTTGCACAATGCTCAGGTGGCCATCTGCAAGTAGAGATTTGGGTGATCGATGTTGATTACAACTTGTTCTTACTCTCATTGTTTGATTCAAGTCATCATCACCTTGGCAGGCTGGGGGCTCGGAGGCGCAGGCAAGCTGGGGGTCTGACAAAACATAGAGGCGCGCGTTGGCGGAATTGCTCTGCCTTGCGTGCCGCCCCCCTTCCCCCCCTTTCCCCCGCTTGCCGGCCCTGCCCCCTCAGGGAGGATCCACCCTATCGCCCATGCAGCCTCACGCCGTTGATCGCGCAGGTAGGCCCAAAACACAACGCCCAAACGCATCACACGAAGTCCGCCCGCCACGCTTCGCGCCGCCACGGGCGAAGGCGTTCACGCGTCAGGGTGTCACGCCCCCTCACCTCCCAGATCTGCCAAGATCAAGATCTCCCTCTGGATGATCTGGGCGATGGGCTTTGGTATCGGCCGCTGCACCAGCTTGATCGCCACATCTCTGCCGGTCGCCCTCTCGCGGCACAGCCACGTCTCCCCCTCGCCGCCTTGGAGTATAGGGTTTCAGGTTTCAGGGTTTAGGGGTCCGGTTGGGGTTTTGGGAGGGTTTGTGAGTTACTGTGGGGTTTTTAGGGCAGCGTGCGGGTCAGAGGAGGGGTGGGGCTAAGGGCGTGGGGCGAGCCAGCGGCGGCCGTCGCCTGAGCGCCGCGGCAGGGGGACGGGGGCGCGGCCTGGCCAGCCGCGGCCGGGGGCTGCTGGCGGCGGCTGCTGGTGGCGCCGTGAGGCCGCGTGCTGCGCCTCGCGTGGCGCTGCACCATGCTTGCAAGCAGCCAGCCCCCCACCGCACACCCCACCCCCTCGCGCCACGCTCCGCCACGCTATCCCCCACCTCCCCAAGAAAAACCTCAAAAAAATGCCCCAGCTGCCCGACTGACCACGCAATCTCTATTTAGCATCAGAACCATCGCCGCCCGGGCAGAGCCGGGCACTCCAATGCGGCAGACTGACACACGAAGCTGCGGTGAGGGCCGCGCAGGGTTCGCCGACCGAAAGACAAACCTCCCGTCAGCGGTTTTACGCGTCCCGTCTCACCCGTCCCGAGCAGCTTGATGACATCCCAAACCTCGGACATGCCGA